GGTAAACCTGTCTTCGTACAACTGAGTAGGGAAAAGCGCTGCAGTCTGTCCACATTGACAGTTGCCAGCGCAGTGGTGTGGCCACACTTGCAACATTTGCAGCTGTGTTGGGAGCGGTGCATTATGGGCAGCTATCCCAGCATTCATGTGGCTGCAACGTGCTTTTCAAAACGGGGTGGGGTGGGGTGGATTGTGACAGGGAGTGTGGGGGGGAGAGAGAGTGCTCTTTGGAGCATGTCAGCTCTCTATTTTGCAAGTTCCGAACTCCTGGGCCCCTGCTCATTCATTTACTCACTCAAAGCAAGCTGCAAACTGTTTGCTTTTCTCTGTGGTACGAGCTTTGAAACCGGCACTTCCGCATTCCTGCAGCTGGTCACAACAATGGAGAGGATTGGCCACTTGACAAGGTGATTAGTACAGCGCTGCAAGCGTTTACACTCACACCCGTGAGTCTTAGCCACTCCGCTGCAGCTGTTATGCCTCTCGGAGATGTGGAGTACCTGCAGCGGTGTACCCAGGGAGATACAGCACTGTAAGTGCCCTGCCAGTGTGGACGGGGAGTGAGTTACAGCGCTGGGGGAGGCTTTACAGCGCTGCAACTTGCAAGTGTAGCCAAGACCTAAGTTAGGCACCTGAATAAGTGGCCTGCTTTTTCAAAGCTGCTAAGCACCTGGAGAGCCCATTAAGTTCAGTGGGAGATCTGTCCACTTATGGCAGTGCTGAAAATTTGCCCAAGGGGGAAAATTCCATTTAACGTTAAGAGGAAAATGGATGTCTTGAAGAGGCAGAGATAGGCAATCGTAATTATAGGAGTTGCTAACACTTGCTATTCTAATCTATATTCTATACATTGTAAAGCACAGATTTTATATGGTTTCCAACACTGTTGCTTTGCTTTCTATAACACACAGGATTAAACACACAAAGAGATTAGGAACATGCTACACTGTGTGTTTTATTAATAGATTATTCATGCTACAAGGCCCATCTTTCTTCTCAGGCATATGGCAAGTAGGCAGGCTGAGAGTTAGTGGGTTTTTACTATTATAGCTGCTGTGTACTGCATCTGTAGGGCTGTATCTTTACATTTATTGTAGAAACTGGATAACGCAAGCATGCCCAAAGCAAAGGACGGCTCCTTGCTTATGTTATATATAACCAAATTTAAAAAAATGTATACAGGAATGGCAGCTTTATATTGAATATGTGGAAACAAAGTTGTCCAGGGAATTGGATGTACAAAACATGAAGCTCAATTCTCCAAGCATATGCCGTATAGAGTAGCTGATTTTCAATTATAGTAAAGTACTGGAAGTGCTGTAAATTCTCTCTGATCTCAAATGTCTCCGTCTTACTAAACTGGTAAATATCCAGGGTCACTTTGTTCACTTGCTAGAGTGCTAAGTCTGAGGAAACCATAAGATACATACAAGCAAGGTTATCCATCTGCTGAACCATGCTTTGAAACTTCCACTTGGAAAAATTCATACTATGTTCTTTCCAAGTTGTTTTATAATGCATCTGTGCTGCTTGTTAGAAACCCAGCAAAACTCATTACAGGAAGGCAATACCTTCTAGCTGGCTGCACTGTCCATCTACTTTCTGGTGATGTGAGATTTCTGGAGCAGCATCACAAAGAGTATCAGAGAGCTCCAAAACTTATCATCCTTCTGTGGTAACTAGCAGAGAAGAGCCACGTTCTCTCCCCCTCCACTCAATCAGAGAATTAGTTACTTCTAAGCTACAGGACTCCTAATTCCTGTGGTCACTAGGTTTATGAAATGTCTCTATTTGCTTTTGGACCTCCTTTCCAGTTCATACAGACCCCAAAAGAAAGACACCACCTTTCGTCTGAAACATGTGGAAAACTCCTTTAAAAACTAACACAAGGACAAAATTGATTTGGGGAAAAGGTTCCCATTGAAATGAATTAGAATCAGCAACGGTAGTACTCAGCTATTATTAGGGGGTTGTTTCTCCACCTCTCATCATGCATTAGGTGAATACACCAACCTTTAAATGCCACAGAATCTGAATAAAAACACACTATCAACGATATAGATGCCTGGAGCTGTAGTGGAGATAGTGTTTATCCAAACTCTGATCCTTCCAGACAACAGAAACCAAGGAACAACCTCTCCAAACATCCTAAACCATTCCCTATAAGAGGGAACATTTCAGGATAAGTGCTCGTCTGTAAACGAGCTGTGGAATTGAGGAGCTGGCTTGTTTTGTGCATCCTCTAACTGTGCTTACCCATGTATGCTCGGTAACATGGCTAACACCAAGACTGAGACCCTATTGTACTATTCATCCTCTGGTTTTAGTGTTCTGGATCCACAAATGAGTGGTTTCCCCAGACCACTTAATTGCTAAATAAACTACATGATGGTAAATTTGAGGCTCCAAACTATTCTCCTAATTAGTCTAAGTGTTTATCAGAAAATAGCACATTTAAATATCTTATAATTCAACCAAGAGAAGGTATTGGGAGTGCTAATAGTGGAACAGTGGACCTATGCTGTTTAAAGTCTGCACTCTGTTCATAATTTGCAGCAACACCATATGGTGCAGAATAAATATATAATGAGAAGTTGGAAAAAAATTAGCATGAAAAGAGTTCACCAAATGATGAAGGCAGATGACAAATGCTCTAAAGCATGAATTCAGTGAAGTTCACATATATTTAAAAATACTTGCAATTCTATATCTGATCTGATGGTTTATTTTCTCCTGATGTTAAATAGGGTTTGGCTTTATCTAACACCTTTCATATTTAAGGTACTGTATTTGAAGCACTATGTTTTTACACAAAACCTTTAACACCAGAACCTATTCTATTAAGAGAGGGGAATGTTGAACAGGACAAAAGATTATCTTCTTCTCTCTTTGAAAAGTACCCTGCGATCTTTAATTACCAAGCAGACTGTCACCAGGGATTAGTGGAAAGGGCCTCACTTGAACAAACCATCCAAAGGATGCTGCAACTTTCGCTGTCCCTTAAAATGTAGCTTCTTGTTGTTGTCAAAAGAATTTTGTTAAATCTTATACAGTTCCACGAATAAATAAATTATTAAAAATAAAGTTGGAAAGTCTCTTAGCAGTATTGTGCAAATCACAAAAAAAGGTTATGAGCATGTACAGAATGTACAGTTTTACAAATTTAAAACTAAGCTTAAAAGTTACCATCTCATGAATATTTATAATGTTGTGGGAAATAATCTACAAAAGTGTGCAGCGGAAATTTTTTTCTCTGGCTGCAAGCTTTTATTCCTATCACTTGCACAAATAGAGTCCTGACAAAATGTTGCGAACTCTGTGTGCAGTAAGCTGTGGAGATGGAAATATAATGGGAGGGAATTTATGGACGAAATAGAATTCAGTGATTACTGGCAGCCATGTCTGCTTTCCGTATGTCAAACTGTCAAAGCCAGCATGCAGCGGAGATGGTTTGATAAAATGTTTTAGAGAAAGAAAAGCAAAGAAGAAAATCAATTACAGCAAAGGGAATGAAAAAGTCTGAATTTAAAACTAGTAGGTTGATAAAGCTGGTCATGACAACTTCGACAACTTTTATCATATGCAATGAGCACAAATATACAGCAGAATAATGAGCTTTAAAACACACTAAGACTTTGTCTACACCAGCACTTCTATTGGTTAATTTTTTTGTTGGTGGTCAGGGGTGTGAAAAACACACTAGCCTGACCAACATAAGTTTCACCACCAAAAGCATCAGTGTGGACAGTGCTATGTCGGTGGGAGAGCATCTCCTGCTGACATAGCTACCACCACTTGTGGGGGGTAGTTTAATTATGCCAATGGGAGAGCTCTCTCCCCTCGACATAAAGCAGCTATACGGGAGAGTTGTGCTACTATAAGGTCTGTAGTGTAGACATAGTCAAAGACACACAAAACAACCCAGTCAAAAAAACAGACAGGTTATCTGGTATGTTGTCATCACCATAACAATGTTTATCCATTGCTAAGAAATCAACAGTTGAACTACTATTCTGTTAATTCACAGATGAAGGGGACAATATAACGTGCATCATGGTGGTGAATACATGACTTAAGTCGCAAAGAACTATAAGTAAAAAGATAGCAAGTCTTTCTTGGAGGAAAAATTTGGAAGGGCGATAATATGGCGGAGACTTTACGTATTTGAATGTCGATTATGAAATTTGTTTCTTTAACTCTAAAAAAGATAATAGTTAAAGGGACATTGCCAAAGTCAGGACTCCTAAAAAATACATTTATTTTGTTAAACTTTTTACTTTCAGGAGCCCATTGTTTTTTTTAAATTGGTTTAAATAATCCGTTGTGTATGTGACAGCTTACGGAGTGAGAGCCCTGGAGGCTGTCTTTTCTGTGGATTAAGGATGACACAGGTAGTAAAACTGCTAAATTTCATAGCACTGCCCAGATGCCTCAGTCATGGCCCGGAGGGAAAACCTGTGAGTGAGGGACAGTAGTTCATTTTTCCATGCCATTTAAGCTCAGACAGCCAACAGGGGTGATGAATAATGTTAGCTGAAGAGGTGGTTTTGTGATGTGGCCACTTGTTTATTTCTTCTTAAATGACTGTGTGAGAGCGTGTGTGTGTATATAAAAAAAAGAGAGAGAGCGAGAGAGAGCATGGTGTTTATTATTGTTCATAATACTGCTGGAGAATATTCACATCAATACATATGTGTACATATACATTTTTCAATATAAATATTCTCCAGCAGCATCGGAAACCTAAACAGCATAGTTCTAACACATGAAAACCAGAAAGTGAAACTGTCTATACACAAGTAACTCACCAGACAATTTTCACTGTCCAAGCTGAGTGAAATGCAAATTTTATACAAACATGATAAACAATGGAAAATATTTATTACTGAGCACAGTGTTTACTATTATGATCTCAATGAAATTACTCTTTTTGTTCACTTAACTGATTTCCAGATACAGCAGAGATTAAAAAGTGGAAATTCATTTAATTACACCCTTACCTGGCTGTAAAGTGCCAAAAACATATCCATTTCTATATTCTCCAGAAGATCTTCAAGCACCACATCATTCCATTGCTCTTCTTGTAAGCTGAAGGGAAAGATGAAATTAGTATTATCTTCCCAGGCATAGTATTTCATGTGATAAGAAATCAATGTCCAAAATTCATCCATTCAGAAAACATTTTACTGGCAGATTTTGTTAAAAGGTTTACCGCACACCTCTTCGAACAAACTAAGAACACCACACTTCTTCCCCTTTTCTCCAAGAGCCAGACCCTGCTGTGTTACTGTCCAACATATCTGACGACAGCAAAGCATCTCATGTGTTCTGTTGTGGCTGCATAGTCCCATCTACAAGGAGCACGGGAATGAACCAATGTTGCATGGGAATGAGCAGGCTCCTGCTGAAGACTTGGCATGAAGCTTGGCCCTTTTTTCAATCAATTTTCACATCTGTCTTTCTCAAAGTATTTACAACCTTTAGAAATAGTTTCTCTCCATTCAAGTCTGTCCTTGGCTGTGTCTTCTAAGTCACCTATATTTATGCCGCATGAGTTGAGATTCTACTGAAAGTTTTTATGTTGACAACTCTTCCTGCAGTTTCTGAGTTTCAGCCTACTATAGAGGATGTTTTTCAGGAGTCTATCAGCACCCATTCTGATATCATGACCTGTCCGTCTAAGCTGGGCTTTAATAATCTCTGCCACAATGCTGGTTGTTTTTGCTCTTTCAAGGATGTTAATGTTTGACACTTTGCCTTGCCAGCAGGTCTTCAGAACAGAGCAAAGAGAGTAACAGCTTTGAGACTCTTATCAGAGCCTGTACACCAACCATGAACAGCACAGGGGAAATAGAAGACCAGTTCTGTTCTGATTTGGATGACAATCAAATTTATGCCCAGTGAAGACAATCTTCTACTTCTGGGAGACGTTAATGCCGGAGTTGGAGAAGAAATGAGACTTGGAGTGGTGTAATAAAAAACAAAGTCAGAAAAATGAAGAACAATGGTCTCCTGCAAGTGTGCAGAGCACGAGTTACAAAACTCAGATCTGAAACATCTTCAACACACGCAGATAGTTGATTCCCCTCTCCCTCTGTGTCCTTTTCAAAGCTCACGCACAATACTTACCAGGTTGTGAGTCTTCTCAGGCTAAGAGTTGCTCACTGATCACTGATTATTTTCTTTTTTCAGACTCAAGCCCAAAGACAATGTTTTCATCTTTCTGGGTCATTTGGACCTGGGTTGGACACTTTTTGTCTCCACCAAGTTTTCACGCTAGATTGCTCTACTTGCTGTTTCTTTAAAGGGCCTGCTGACAGGTTAGCTTGGACTTCTGTCCTGGGGCTGGAGGGAGAGTAATGGCCTACCTACCTACTTATTTTCCCCAGTCTTCTGCAGCAAGACACAGAAACATTCCTCTAGATCCCACTGTGGACTGGCCCTTTAACAATTAAAATAGCTCTGGGGATGCACATACCCCAGACTGCAAAGGACCCAATCTGAAATTCTTGATCCAGAAGGCAGAGGACAGGGCTCCTTTTGAAGCCTGTCAATGCCACTCCTTACAAATCAGTCCAAGTGACACCTACTTAGTAATGCAAAGCTCTCTCTCATAGTGCTACATGAAACTTAAGGCATGTGTGTAACTAAAAATGGCCTCTTTCACTAGAACAATTTGTTTATCCTAGCAACACTCATAACAGAAAAGTATATTCAATGTGCAGCAAAATGGATGCAGGGTGGTGGTGGAACTGAAATTCAAGTGGCTTGCATCTGATTGGAAATATTTTCCCAGAGACTGTGGCTTTCATTCTGTTTTCTTGAGCCTGAGTGAATTGGAACCAACCCTTGTCTCGTGCTTGATAATGTGAGGTATTAGCATTAGCCCACTGGTTGATCCCAGAAAGACTGATTGTAAGGTAAGGCACTGCATTTCAAATACATTTTCACAGTCAACGGATTTATTATTATTGACTGGATATATTGCAATGGTGCCCAGAATCCCCCAGCAGAGCAGGGTGTTCTTCATGAAGACATAAACTCTTGCCCTGAAGAGTTTACAGAATGAATGTTTAGCTTGCTGGTTCTATATGGTATGTTACATTCTCTGAAGACTGCTTGCAATGACTAAGATATAGAAAAAGGCTGTCATACTTAATATCAAAAAGCCTTACCTTTGCCGATGCAGATTTACCAATTGCTTACACTTATTCAATGCCTGACACAGCAGAGCAGACACCTGTCTCTCTGCATTAATTTCCACAACTTCATCTGAAAGTCCCAATCCATCTGGAGTCCATCTCTGCCTATTCAATAGGTGCTGCTGCTGAGCCGTCTCCTTATGTAACATTTCATATTCCAACTTTCTGTCAAGTTCTTCAATCTCCTGGAGTATGAAAATGTACAATGATAAGAACAATTCAAAATTCATCTTGGAAGAACAATTTTTGTTTGGAGTTAAGAAAAAGATGGTATCATTGGTTTGCAATATTACTTAATTCTGTTCTCATTCTTTCCAATCGCTTGTGATCACTACACTTTCCAGTTCATTGTGACGGCTTCACTAAACATAACTAGTATGCAATGAGCATCCGAACAATGCTTAAAGATACCAGTAAATTATTGCTGTGCTAAAGGGCAATACTGTCTGAAACCTTCCAACATAGGAGACACTTGGAATGTATAATATCCATATGACTAAGATTGAAACGTCAGACAGCTTCCTGATTTATAAGCAGGGTAAAGTTACTGAAACACAATGTGAGAAACTCATGCAGACAATTTTTGAATCAACTACTAATACTAAAAAGGTTTCAAATTGGAAAATATTGACTACTACTCAACGTAATAAAATCAGAGTAACAAAACAATATCTCTACAGTCAAAAAAGAACCCTTCCTAGAAATTGTTTAGGAGGCCTCGCTCAATAGTGTCATTTTAAAAATCCTTGTCTTAACTGCATAATTAATATGACAGACAGGATAGCTGTGTGGTTAAGCCATTAGACTAGGACCAAGGAGATGGGGTTCAGTTCCCAGTTCTGCCACAGACTTCCTTTCTGACCATGGCCAAGTCACTTAAGATCTCTGTGCCTCTGTTACCCCTCTGTAAAGTAGAGAAGATACCTGACACCTGGTAAAATTACTGGTTTCAGAGTAGCAACCGTGTTAGTCTGTATCCACAAAAAGAACGAGGAGTAATTGTGGCACCTTAGAGACTAACAAACTTATTTGAGCATAAGCTTTCGTGGGCTACAGCCCACTCAAGCGAGTTGAACGGCACTCAATCAGAACTATGCAGTACAGATATTCAAATTAACATCAAGTTGAGTAAGCCCCTGTTAAAAACATACTGCGTAGTTGGATTCTTTTTATTTACCTTATATTTAAGGCTTTAGGGTTCACATGGGGAGAGGTGACATACACACATTCCTGTACACCACTCTCTTACATAGGGGTGACCAACCGACCCTCCCCTCCCTGCCTGGCGCTTTCCGCCCTCCATGCCTGGCTGGGCCTCCGGGACAGACCCATCTCTCCTGGTACATGGCACCACATCTTCCCAAGGCAGCACATGGGGAGACACGCAGGGTCACATGCCTCCTATCCCCAGATTTCTGCCAGGGTTCACACCAGAATGTGGCCAGCAGCAGCCTTTCGGCCCTGTGTGGGAGGGAAGGGACGGAAGCTGCTTCCAGACTCAGGGTGGGAGGAGGTGGGGAAGGGATGACCTGGCCCGTGGCTTTGCAGAGCTCATCTCTTCTCCTTCACCCTCCCCTCTGTGTGGCTGGAAGCAGCTTGTCTCTTCCTGCCCGCACAGTGTCGAAAGGCAGCTAACACCTCCAGGCTGCTGCTGGCCACTGACGTAACCCAGCTGCCTCCTGCATGGGCAGGAAGGGGTTAAGCCCTAAGGATGCATTGTGCATCAGGGCCCAAGGAACCTGACTGCAGGGGCTTCAGCGAACCCTGCCACAGAAGTGACTCAGCAGGGGAGAGTGCCTAGGGGACAGAGTAGTCTCGCGCTCCCTGGGGGCAGGACCCAGGGTGGGGCATGTGTGTGTGTGTGTGAAGAGGGTGCTAAGCCTCTGTCCCGAGGGCTACTGTGAAGCCTGCAGGTTTGGGGCGTGAACAGGCTGGAAATCGCTTCCTGCCCTTCCCCCCACCATTCCAGAACTTAGCTGAGGAGCGGAGAGGCTTCCCCGTGCCAGCGCTGTGCGGGGCTTTGGTACATGCAGGGCTTGGCTCCTCCTGGCCAGCGCCTGGGGCCGGAGGATCTTGGGCTTTCCCAGGGTGCTGGCCCAGCCAGAGGCAGTGGGGGAAGGAAGGAGCCTGCCGGCCAGACTGCTGGTGAGCTGAGCGCTCCGACCAGGGGCTGGCTCTCTGCACAGCGCTGCTAGTGGGACGTACTCCGTTGGGGGGGATATAGAGGAGCAGCCGGGCTGCGGGGGTGGCGAAGGGGCAAAGCAGAGAGAGGATAGCGAGAGTGCAAACATGTAAAGGGCTGATGGGTGGGCAGCAGGGGGCGACGTGATCGGCAGCCGCCTTGTGCCTGCCGCACTCACCGGCCGCTGCAGTGCGCGACCAATGCCAGCCAGAAATGGGATGGGGGGGCGAGGCCCTGCTGGCCAAGAACCGGCACACAGTGGGGGCTGCACTGGCAGACCAGCAGGGGGGAACGGCCGCCCTGCGCACTGCATCTTCCCCCCGACACCAGCCTTGCACACCCACTCCCATTGTCGGCTACTGGACACCTCCCCCCCCCCCCACACACACACACTCACCACTGGTGGGCAGGAGGCTGGTGAGCAGGAATCCGGCCAGCAGCAGGAACTGCCAATACTGATCGGGGGGCGGGGGTGAGAGGACAGAAAATATGGGACATTTTGCCTGTTTTTAAGAAAAAGTCGGGACATCTGCAGGAGGACTTAAATAAAGGATTGTCCCTTTAAAAACAGGATGTCTGGTCACCCTATCTATGTTCAGCACTTAATACAATGGGGCCCTATGCACGTCCATAACAAAAATAACAATAAATGCAGACTAACTGCTAGTGCCAGAAATAAAAACATGTTATTTGTAGAGAGATTAATGAAGTTAACATACAGTTAACCATTAATTTGTTCTACTGAATGGTTACATCAATAGAGTTACGAGCTATCACCTGATGTGGTGTTAGTGGTTTTTAATTAACAGGTTTCTAAGACTGTAAAAAATGTAGCAACAGGCAGGGAAGTTTATTCAGCAGGAGAGAGTCTATATCAGGGGTGGCCAACCTGTGGCTCCGGAGCCACATGCGGCTCTTCAGAAGTTAATATGCAGCTCCTTGTATAGGCACTGACTCCAGGGCTGGAGCTACAGGTGCCAACTTTCCAATGTGCTGGGGGGTGCTCACTGCTCAACCCCTGACTCTGCCACAGGCCCTACCCCCACTCCACCCCTTCTCGCCCCCTCCCCTGAGCCTGCAGTGCCCTCACTCCTCTTCCCCTCTTCTCCCCGAGCCTGCTGCAGGCCACGAAACAGCTGGTCGGGAGGTGCGGGGAGACAGGGGGAGGCGCTGATGGGCGGTGCTGCCGGTGGGCAGGAGGCACTGGGAGCAGGCGGGGAGTGAGCTGATGGGGAGCTGCTGATGTATTACTGTGGCTCTTTGGCAATGTACATTGGTAAATTCTGGTTCCTTCTCAGGCTCAGGTTGGCCACCTCTGGTCTATATAGACCAAGCGAAACAGGTAGCATAAGCACAAATAGTAACAAACAAAAACTTCCCCAATCTAGGGCTCAACCCAGCCCTCGCAGCCTGGATAAGAAACCCTACATACTCTCTCTCTCTTCTGTCTCCAGCAGCCCTATTTATACCCCTTCCTCTGAACACCTATGCAAGTGCTGGAGTTAACCCTTTGTGTATTAGCAAGCTGGTAGTGTCTCAGCATACCGTTGCACTGTTGTAATTATTGTATTGTTTGTATTTTTGCAGTATCTAGGAGTCCCAGTCAAGGACGAGCACCCCATTTGTGCTAGGTGTTGTACAAACACAGAACAAAAAGGAGGCCTCTACTCCAAAGAGTTTACAAAATAAGTATAACGTAAGAGACAGAGGGACACAGACAGACGGACGGAGAAGTTCAAGAAACAATGAAATATCATTGGTCAGCATGACAGGCAGCGGTCTCAACACAACAGCGGCCTAACTGTTGTCAAGTTTTTTTGTAGGCAACACAGCTAAGATTTCAAAACAGGCACTAAACCAAAATGAAATTACTTTTAATGCTTTATCAGCCTTGATCTTATTTCTCTTGTCACTGTAAATAGCTATTACAGGTTTAATACAATGTTTCATTAAACAAACTCAGAAGAGCATATTTAAACTAACATATTGTCACTTTAAGAAAGGCTCTCCAGAGAGGACAGTATTAAATTTTAAGTAGGAGTTTTCACAGTGATATCTGTCTAATGATGCCCTCTAGCAAAAAGGTTTAACTTTTAAAAATCCATTCTGTTTGTTCTACTTCAGTGCTCTGCCAATTCCCACTTTGATAGTCACAAATGGGAGACACACACACACACACTTCCCTATGACTATATAGCATAGAACTAAAAATACCCAACAGGATTCTGAAACTGCCAAATCTGTAAAAAATTGACAAAAAGGAAGTAAAAGCTTTTTCTGAAGATTTTGTTATTTAAACTGTGTGCACATGCACAACGAGAGAGAGAGAGAGAGAGAGAGACTGTATATACTCTGGGTGCACAATAACTCAAGCGTATCACATGACCGGGCAATTTATCACATAGCTCTCACTACCATAAATGTGACAAATTTTGAAAGTTGGTCATGAAAATTATTTATTAGTCTTCGCTCAGAGTTACTCCCCTGCCCTTTACTGTTTGATCAAGATAATGAAATATTAGTTAGTTACCTGTTAAAAATATTGCTTTATCTTATCAAGAGAGGCTGTGATATCAATTGGGGCCTATTGGTGCTACCATACTACAAATAATAAATAATATTATCTTTCTAGCTATAATATTCTTATCTTCTGTTTAAACAGTACTGTAACTTTCTATCTGTATTTCTTTCACATAAAGCTTTCATATAAATGCACACACACACCCTGCCAAAACTATAGAAATAATGGGTCAAATTTTCAGCTAGTATAAATCAAGCTAGTTTGATTGAAGTCAATGAAGCTACACCAGCTGATGATCTGGCCCATGAAGAGTTTACCCTTCTCAGCACTTTGTTACTTACAGGATTATGTGCCTCTAAAATGTGGGTACACTCTGATTCTGATAGTATTTTTGATGTACTCAATTCTTCCAGAAGCAAAGCTTGTACACTTATGATAGCGGTGTAAATCTCCAACGTTTTGGACTTCTTATCAGTCTTTTGGAACTGTAAAGCAGCAATGGACTCTCCAAGTTTATTCTCCCGAGAATGCAACTGATGCTCCTTTTCAAGCAGCAACTCATTATGGACCTGGAAAATAATGAAACACCAAATGTAATAAGATTAACAAAAACCTGATAAGCATTTTTAGGGTTTTTAAAAATATATAATTATTTGGCTGCCACACGATTGACATAATACGCAAGGAAATTATCCGGGGTGGGGAGAAGAGGAGGAGAGAGAAAAAGAACAGTCATTTCTTGTACATTACTCAACACATAAAACTATTAATTTTATTTAAAATATTTGTTTTCTTTAAAACAAAATTCAGATTTCTTAGCTACAGTGGTCATATACATAAGTGTGTCTTAGATAATATTGCCTCGGAATTTCATGAAAGCCCCACAATTCACTATACTTGGTGAAAATACTGCATATGCTGAAGTATCATTATATAAAGTAAGTGACAACTTTTTAAGTGCATTACTATCATTGCAGAACCTTGACATTTTTACTGTTTCTATTACTGTGTAGGACAGTCCCCTGTGCTTTCCCTGTCTTTTTGTCCCATCCATGGCTGTCTCTTGTCTTAAATTTAAACTACAGGCTTTCTTGGGAAGGGACTGTGTTTTAGTTTAACACAACCCTGGCCTCCCAGTGCTAATGCAGTACAAATAATAAAAACTAATATCTATTGCAGAATGGGAGACTCATAGGAGACATTTCAAAAACTTTAATATGTTTTGGATGAATTTATTGCCACCAGTGATTATGGTACCTGACTGTAGCCACATCTGGAACCTTGAACGTATTTATGTTCTTCCCCATGCCTGCATCAGTCGATGTCTGCTTCTTTGCAACACCATGTGGGATGGGATCGTTCAGTTACCTTGACTTAGATTCAGTGCTCAAATGGTTACTTCTCTCCTATTTCTGCCTTACTTGAGACTGAAAAATCTCTGTGTATGTCACAGTACAGATAATGGGAAAAAAAGATCCAATGCCTAGTAGATAAAAGTATGTCAGAGGAGGTTTTTTTCATCCAACACTGGATGTTCAGAAAATACCCAAGTTTGGTAGTAATTCTGGGTATTGTGTGTGAGACAGTGATCTTGTGGTTAAAGCACAGGGAATCAAGAGATCTGAATTGTGGACCAATTTTTGCCACACAGTGTTCCTTTATGGTTTTGAGCAATTCACAATTTTCAAAATTGTCCACTAACTTTTGGTGCCTAGGTTTTCAGATGCACAACATTAGATATGCAGGCCTTGATTTTCATAGCTGCCAAAAAAATCAATTGAAGTCCGTGGGAGCTGTGACTGCTCAACACCTCCAAAATCAGGAGCTTGGTATCTTAAGTCAGGAACCCAAAACTTGAGGCATTTCAAATTAGCAGACACTTGAATATTTGGGCCTTAATCTCTCTATGCATGTTCACCTATCTGTAAAACAGGAATAATACATTCCTAATCCAATGAGGTAATTATTATTATAATCCAAGGATTTAATTAATACTTTCCTAATCCAATGGGTTTTTTATCATCATCACCACCACCATCACTATCATCATCCAAGGACATAATTATTGCTTTTGAAGTGCTCTGAGATTCTCAGATGTAAGGCATCATAAAAGTTTCGGGTTATAAAATATTAAAGTTATTATATATCAAAGGAGTTGTGTTTAAAGTTAGCTAATTAATTCCAAGGTGTTTCAAAGTAATATAAATCCTTCCTTCTCTCCAATAAGCCATTTTGTTGGATTGTCTCCTTTTGGTGAGCCCACCACTCCTGTTAATGGTAATGGAAATTGTGTGTTAACATGTGAAGGAGTCCATGGGCCTGATCCTCAATTGGAGTACACTGGAATAGCCTGAAGCCTAGACTGAAGTCAATAATAATTACAGTTTACACGAGCTGAGGATCTGGCTCTATATCCCAGAGACAATGCATAGTTATTCTCAAACTTCATAACCATATCACCTGTTTATTTATGTTAATCAGAATTATATGAAATAATATATTAACCCCATTCATTACCTTTTAAGAATAATTTAGCAGACTGTCACAAGGTTTTTCAGAGCCCTAAAATGACACACAGGTAATGTGATGCACATGAATTTTTCTCTGGCATTATTACTGACAAGACTGCTGTCGAGAGGGGATTGCATATCATTCAAATTTTGTTATCCAATATATAAAGCTAAATTCAAAATGTGATTTGCAACCAAATCTTATTCAAGAGTATTCATGTGACATTATCTAAAATTTCCATTGAATTATATGAGATGCCCTTGAACACCAGAGGAAGAAAGTTATCTGCAGAAAATTCTTCTGACCATCATCAACTAAGCCTAGCAGTACAAAGCATAGGCGCTGACTCTGTGGGTGCTCCGGGGCTGGAGCACCCACGGAGAAAAAATGGTGAGTGCTGAGTACCCACCTGCAACCCCCTTATCAGCTCACCCCCACAGAGCACCTCCTGCCCACCCGCCGGCAGGCCCCACAGATCACCACCTCTCCCTCCCTCCCCATGCCTCCTGCCTGCCACAATCAGCTGTTTCATGGCATGCAGGAGGCTCTGGGCAGGAGGGGGGAGGAGCGAGGACGCGGCGCACTCAGGGGAGGGGGCAGAACTGGGCAGGAAGAGGCGGGGATGGGGTGGGAAGAGGCAGGGTAGGGGTGGGGCCTTGGGGGAAGGGGTGGAGTGGGGGAGGGGCCTGGGGCAGAGCCAGGGGTGGAGCACCCCCCTGGCACTTTGGAAAGTCGGCACCTGTGGTACAAAGCCCTACTAAAGAGGCAAGGTGCATGCCACAGGTACATTCTAGATATTACTAGCATAATTCTGCCTTAACAGACAGAAAATGTATCTTAACCATATTGTTATTCAATATAAATCTCTTTCTTAAACAATAAAACAAACATGGGGAAAATATCTGGAAAATATGAAATTGTCCCTTCCCTTCCCTTCCCTTCCCTTCCCTTCCCTTCCCACAGAACCTGTAGATTCTGCAGCCCTTGGCTAGCGGCCCTGAAATGAAAAGAAGGCTTAAAGTAAATGCTGCTTTCATAATTTCACAGTATTGTGGAATTTATGAGGGCCTCAATTTTGATGGTCACATGGAACCACATATAAACTCTGGTTCTAGGCTATCAGGGAAGTTTACTTTGAAATAAACTGACTGGCTGTGGTGATACAGTGTTGTCAATTCCCATGATTTCATTGTGAATCTTGTGATTGTTGATGTTTTTTCCAGCTCCTGGAATCCAGTGATTACATAGGAATCTCAGTTTTCATTAAAATAATACAATTTTAAATCCTCATGGTTGTGGAGAAAAGCTTGAAAAATTTACCAGAAGGAAAACAAAAAGAATGCAACATTTATTATTTTTTAACATTGCATGATTTTGGGGCCCAGCTCATGGTTTTTAAATGCGTGGAGTTGGTACTGTTTTGCCTTTGCTTATGCCCTATATTCAGTTTACCACATTTTTCAGTGACAGGAATAAAGAAGAGTTGTTTCACGATAATCTTTTCCCAACTGTGCAGTCAATACTTTCTCTGTACCTGTATGCATCTCAAGAAGATCAGACAGTTTTGCAAAGGGGCAGCTGGAGTGTGTCAGATGTTTAGAATGCTGCAGACAGATCAACACGTGGGGGAAACTGCCAACCTGCACAAACGCTTCTTTATAATACTGGAACACTTAAAGAAACAAACCATAACCTAAGTCTCAGTACTGGCAGAGGAAATGTCCCTTTGAGACCCTAATACTCCTCTTGTGAAGAAGCAGAGTCCAAAATGATGTTAAATGTCTCCACTGTTCACTTAGGGTATGTTTACACTGCAATAAAAGATCACTGACACAGCCGCGACTGACCCAAGTGAGTTGACTTGGGTTTACTGGGCTGTAAAACTGAAGTGTAGATATTTGGACTCAAGCCAGAGCTGGGCTCTCAGACCCTGCAGGGGGTGGGTCCTACATATACACTGCAGTTTTTAGCCCCGAAGCCCAAGCCCTGCAAGCCCGAGTCAGCTGACCCAGACTCAGACTCCATGCCGCAGTTTTTTATCGCAGTGTAGACATACCCTAAAGAATCCCAGATGGGACCTGGGCCTTTCCCCTCTAGAAGCAGACTGGACCAGGATGTTGGGGGAAGTTTTTAGACTTACTTCGGAGATGCCTTGACCAGTGAGGATAGTGCAGTTTACTGAGTCCTATGGGCTGAAAAGCACAGACTTGCCCTTGCAGAGCACATCCACTGGTGTGGGAGGCCCAACAAGTAAGTCCATATTCTCTGCACTTTCCTCCTGGCAGAGCAAAGGTCTGCAGGCTGGGAACAATAGTGGCAGAGCCCTCCTGTTGTGGCTCCTGCAGTCTCCTTACACATGGTGCATGCACTACATGGGCTTGTTTTCTGCTGATCTGTTTGACTGTCTCTGCCATAGCAGAGAAGGGAAGTAGCTCAACAGCTGCTCTCATTCATTCAGGCAACAATCCCCCCAATTTTTCATCTCATACATGAAGGATTGGGAGCAGGAGGGGAGAGTGAGTAGGAAGAATAATGCTCACTGCTACCCCCAATATTATCTTGCAAAGCCAGGATGCTAAAGGATAAAGCAGGATTGCTGAACTACTGTTGTTTTTGAATAGCCAGTGGTAGAAAATGGGAGTGAAGGTGGAAGGGGCGTGGGCAAACCTTGGAGTCCTCTGGACAAATCTGAGCTGCTTCTATTATCTGGAGAACAGCCCAAGTATCTCAGTCTGGGCCCAGACATACCTGTTTCTCATTTTTATGTTTCCGTTTGTATAAGGGACGACTCAAACTACAGAAAAGTCTGTATATTCTTTGCAGAAAGGTAAGAAATCTGCTAAAATGGAATTGAGGCCCTTTGTTCGACGCTTTCCATTGAAATGCTAATAACTTCACCATTTCTTTCATATCCTCACAATTCAGCAGTTCATGAGCATTCAGAGATGTATACTGCATTTCAGCGGCCCTGATAGGAAATCAAATAAAGATAAAAACTTCCACAGAACATCATGCAAATCAGGATTTTGATTTAGATTATACAAGACAGCCAATTCCA